AAATCAAATTTAAACCAATTAAACAGTGTTCTCAATGTTCTCCAACCTATAAGGCAATATATGATGATCAGTTATAGCAGCCGATAATGTCTTATTTCATAGTCTAATCTTCACATGCTTTATCCAAAGTACACTCCCTGTTGATTCCCCCACTAATTATGTTCACAGTATCTATTATTGTAGGGTCTACCTTACAATATAAAGCGCATTGAGGTGACCGTTGTTGTGATTTGGCTCCATATAAATAACATTGAATTGAACTGAATTATTTACTGTGTCTTTATGAATTTGCTAGCTTAGCTTAGCTCGTAGCCGACTCGCTAGCAGCATGGCCTCTTCACCTGTCCTGCCTACACTTTCCTGCTCATTGTGTCAGATGGTTAGTTACTCCTCGCCATGTTTTAGCAGTAATGATACTTGTAATAAATGTAGCCTATTTTCAGCTCTAAAGGCCAGGATCCCTGAATTGTAGACTTGATAAGCACGTAGCTAATCAGGCCCCTGTAGCCGAAGGTAGCGTGGGCCCCGCTAGCTGTCCCCCGGCAGATTGTCCCGAGCAGCCAGGAAAACAGGTCGGCTGGGTGACGGTGAGGAGGAAGCATAGTCCTAAACAGAAGCCCCAGGTACACCACCAACCCGTTCATGTGTCTAACCGTTTTTCCCCACTCGGCGACACACCCGCCGGGGGTCAAACTCTGGTAATTGGCGATTCTGTTCTCAGACATGTGAAGCTAGACACACTGGCAACCATAGTCAATTGTCTTCCAGGGGCCAGAGCAGGCGACATTGAAGGAAATTTAAAACTGCTGGCTAAGGGGAAACGTAAATTCAGTAAGATCATAATTCACGTCGGCAGTAATGACACCCGGTTACGCCAATCGGAGGTCACTAAAATCAATATTGAATCGGTGTGTAACTTTGCCAAAACAATGTGGGACTCTGTAGTTTTCTCTGGTCCCCTCCCCAATCAGACCAGGAGTGACATGTTTAGCCGCATGTTCTCCTTAAACTGCTGGCTGTCTGAGTGGTGTCCCAGAAACGATGTGGGCTTCATAGATAATTGGCAAACCTTCTGGAGGAAACCTGGTCTTGTTAGGAGAGACGGCATCCATCCCACTTTGGATGGAGCAGCTCTCATTTCTAGAAACATGGACAAATTTATTAAACCCCCCAAAATATGACTATCCAGAGTTGGGACCAAGAAGCAGAGCTGCAGTCTTACACGCCTCTCTGCAGCTTCTCTCCTCCTGCTACCCCCCCAAAAACCCATCTCCATAGAGACTGTGTCAGCTCCCAAACAGACAAAGAACAAACTAAAAACCAGCAACAAACAACTTAAACATAAACAATTACAAAGAAAGAACAATACAGTATCCACATCTGAACCAAAGAGTAAAACAGTGAAATGTGGATTATTAAATATCAGGTCTCTCTCCTCCAAGTCTCTGTTAGTACATGACTTAATAATTGATCAACAAATTGATTTACTCTGCCTTACAGAAACCTGGTTGCAGCAGGATGATTATGTTAGTTTAAATGGAGGTGCAGGGGATTATCTTCTTCAGTACCTGAATGCTACTCCAGCAGAGTTCAATTATCTTGTTAATAATTTCACTTAACTGCGTACAAATCTGTTCCTCTGAAAAAGAAATGTTCAAATCAGAAGTACCTGACTCCGTGGTATAATTCTCAAACTCATAGCCTAAAGCAGATGACTCGTAAGCTGGAGAGGAAATGGCGTGTCACAAATTTAGAGGATCATCATTTAGCCTGGAGAAATAGTTTGTTACTTTTAAAGCCAGAACATCTTACTATTCATCACTGATTGAAGAAAATAAGAACAACCCCAGGTTTCTCTTCAGCTCTGTAGCCAGGCTGACAAAAAGTCAGAGCTCTGTTGAGCCAACCAGACGCTTTTCTTTCCAAGCTCCTTAGACTACGATGACCTGGATGACTGAGAACCTTCACAATCATTAGAGAAAAATATTACTCATAATCATCTCACAGATGTATCTACAGCTACTTTCAGTACCTTTGATGTTCATTTAGACGCTTTCTCTCCAATTGATCTTTCTGAGTTAGCTTCAATAATTACTTCCTCCAAACCATCAATGTGTCTTTTAGACCCCATTCCTACAAAACTGCTCAAAGAAGTCCTGCCATTAATTAATTCTTCGATCTTAAATATGATCAACCTATCTCTAATGATCGGCTATGTACCACAGGCCTTCAAGCTGGCAGTAGTGCAGTATGCAGATGACACCCAGCTCTATCTGTCCATGAAGCCAGATAACACACACCAATGAGTTAAACTGCAGGAATGTCTTAAAGACATAAAGACCTGGATGGCCGCTAACTTTCTGCTTCTTAATTCAGATAAAACTGAGGTTATTGTACTCGGCCCTGAAAAGCTTAGAAATATGGTATCTAACCAGATTCTTACTCTGGATGGCATTACCTTGGCCTCCAGTAACACTGTGAGGAACCTTGGAGTCATTTTTAACAGTATATTTCCAGTTAATACAAAATGCTGCAGCAAGAGTACTGACAGGGACTAAAAAGAGAGAACAGATTTCTCCTATATTGGACACGGCCTTCGCAGTCTACGTGGGCCGAGTCCTTTAAAGGCCAAGAAGGCCAGAACTGCGAGGCTGTGAAATGGGAGGGTCTACCCTTCAGATTTGTGTCACCAAGTGTGTTCATGGAGTTTAATAAACTCAGCCATCTGCTCTTTGCTATTTAAAATATAATAGGACATGCTTCTGTTTATTCAGTTTTCTGTTTGACGTTTATTCAGTGTTTATTCCCTCCGCGAATCGCTACCTTATCGTGGTGGTGGGGTTTGTGTGTCCCAGGGATCCCAGGGGCTATGTTGTCCGGGGTTTCTGCCCCTGGTAGGGTCTCCCATGGCAAATTGGTCCTAGGAGAGGAACAGACAAAGAGCGATTCAGAAGACCCTTATATGAAAACGAGGGAACAGTTCACCCTGCCTGGGATAGGGTTACTGGGGCCCCACCATGGAGCCAAGCCCTGGTTGGGTGCCTGAGGGTGAGCGTCTGGTGGCCAGGCCTTAGTCCATGGGGCCCACTAGGCACAGCCCGAAAAGGGGACATCGACCCATCCTCCTGCAGGCCCACCACCCACAGGAGGTGCCGTAGGGGTCCGATGCATCATGTGCCGGGCAGCAACATGGAATGTCACCTCTCTGTTAGGGAAGGAACCTGAGTTAGTGTGTGAGGTTGAGAGGTACTGGCTAGATATATTCGGGCTCGCCTCAACGCATGGCGTTGGAACCAGTCTCCCAGAGAGCGGCTGGACTCTGTCTTAGTCTGGATTTGCCCCCGGTGAGAGGTGGCGGGCTGGGGTGGGTATTCTAGTATCTCCTCGCGTTGCTGCCTGTACATTGGGGGTCCAGTGCCTCGAATAAGCGGAAGAAAATGCATGGATAAAAAACTATAACTTTAATCTCAGCCAAGCCCTTTTGACTCAGGAACAAATAAAACATGGTATTGAAAAAAGCCAAACAATAATATATATATCATGTTTAACCTGAGTAGCGAAAGACCGCATGGGTCTGAAAACGATGTGCTGGGAATCTGCTGTTCTCACTGGCTCTAGTGAGCCTCGACCTCCCGGTCAGATATCGAGCTGGTGAGTAACAGACGTCTCAGAAAATGTCGGAGCACTTTTGCAAACATGTGACATCTTAATAAATTGAGCAGATATTAGAAGTTTACACAGCTACATTCTCACCTGAAAATATCATAAAAGTTTATTTTGTGACCCAGAAAGATTAATAAGAGTAATATTAAAGCTAAGTAGCTGCCGCCATTGTTGGAAACTGGAATTGGCTGGGCCGCGCTATGAATTCTGGGATGGGTTGGGCCAAGAAGGATACACCTGACCCATCCTTCAAATTCAGGGAAATGAAAGATGGATTTGTCGGCCGCATTTGGAGCAGTCTTTGAATTGGGACAGCCTTTGTCGCCCGGCTGTGGCATAATCGACCTTCAAATGATTTGGCCCCTTAATTGCGACATACCTCATGTGTTAATAGACCTCTCTGCACTGAATCATACTTGTCATACTTGTTACTTTTTATTAACCTCTGTCTCTGTTAAGGAAATATACTCTAAAACACTTCTTCAGTAAAGACTCAGAGAAGAGAAACACACAGAACTTCTTGCTAGCAAGGGCAGCCTCCAGACTGAGACTCGCACTGAGAAACTGCCCCGGTCTTTATTTATACTTCAGTGGGTGCTTGTGTGTGTGTGTGGTGCCCTGCTGATCAAAGGGTCATATAACAGCACAAAAAGAACATCCTTGGTCATAAAGAGGGTAGTCTCCCCCTCACCCTAGATGGTTCACCCTAGATAACACAGTGAAGAAGTCCAGCAGTTCATCTAAACAAAAGGCACTTAGACTAAAACAGACATAGCTACGATAAAACAATAAAACAAGGTACGACCTCTTCCCATGCTCCCAGGATGTGGGGGTGGACGCTAGAACACCTTGAAGTGTTACAGGCCCCCTAGGATGAGACATTCTTTCACTATGCCACCAACTATATACTTCTACACACAAATGATTACATGCAGTATTCTACCATATGCAAACTTATATCATTAAAAGATTATACTGACTACTAAGTACAATTTTCCTATTAACAGTCTCTCTTCCACAGCATGTCTTTATCCTGTCTTCCTTCTCTCACCCCAACCGGTCGCAGGAGATGGCCCCGCCCCTCCCTGAGCCTGGTTCTGGAGGTTTCTTCCTGTTAAAAGGGAGTTTTTCCTTCCCACTGTCACCAAAGTGCTTGCTCATAGGGGGCCATATGATTGTTGAGTTTTTCTCTGTATCTATTATTGTAGGGTCTACCTTACAATATAAAGCACCTTGAGGCGACTGTTGTTGTGATTTGATGCTCTAAGTCGATGAATGAATTCTTTGAACACAATTAGTGGGTGATTCAGCAGAGCGTCTGTATTGGATCAAGGAATTGACCATTGCACTGTGTAACAACAAAGTTTTTAATTAAATGGCATACACAAAACACCACTGTGCAATGCATCAGGAACAGGAAGTGATACTATACTGCAGTGAAAGCCAACACCAGGTAAATATAACATTTCATTTCTTAGAGTGCATGGAGAGACCATCTGGGAATGGTTTCAGATGAATACATAGAGACCCAAAGAGGCTGGAAATCTACAATGGAGGGTTTTACTTGGTGCAGTCGCTGTAAATGCTTTTATCTTTGTTTGAAATCCCAGCCATGATGAAATTCTCCAGTATGTTGTAAAGGGGAAACTGTGTTCCACTCTTTCCTGGATTTCAGGAGATCACAGTCTGTGTTTGGGCTCCAGGAGAAGCAGTTCTGACTTTTTATTTAGATTGAGATTATTTACTCTACAGACTTTCATCCTTGGCTTTACATGTTCGATAAAAACAGACATTGTGGTTGATTTAATATTCACTTGAAAAAGAAATATTTTTTTGTTTGGATTATTACTTCTATTCTCAAATCTTTAGCTGTCTGTTTTTATTGATAAAAGGGTTTTGGAAAATCTAAATCAACTCTATCTATATATTTGCTCTGTCTCTCTACATCTCTAGCTCGCTCCATAGATCTTGCTGTCTCTCTCTCGCTAGCTCACTCTCTCGTTCTAGCTCAAGCAACAGATCCTGCCGTTGTTCTTCCTGTAACTCTCTCGCTAGCTCACTCTCTCGTTCTAGCTCAAGCAACAGATCCTGCCGTTGTTCTTCCTGTAACTCTCTCGCTAGCTCACTCTCTCGTTCTAGCTCAAGCAACAGATCCTGCCGTTGTTCTTCCTGTAACTCTCTCGCTAGCTCACACTCTCTTTCTAGCTCGCTCCAAACATCTTGCTGTCTCTCTCTCGCTAGCTCACTCTCTCGTTCTAGCTCAAGCAACAGATCCTGCCGTTGTTCTTCCTGTAACTCTCTCGCTAGCTCACACTCTCTTTCTAGCTCGCTCCAAACATCTTGCTGTCTCTCTCTCGCTAGCTCACTCTCTCTTTCCAACTCTCCGTACAGATGTTGACGAGGGTCCAGGCGTGTCTCACGGCAGGACTTCAGGGCCTTTGGTCTGGCTCCAGTGAAGACGTTGCAGGGAAGTTGCGGTTTGGCAGCTTGTTGCTCTGAGCTGCTGCTGTTGACTTTCTTCTGAGCTTCTCGTTTGAGCTGAAAAACTATGCCAGAAAGCAAAGTGTTGACCTTCAACTGAGGTCTCGTGTTGAACGTCTCCTTACACATGGGACAGCAGCAGGACATATTAACATCCCAGTGCTGAGTGATGCATCTTTTGCAGAAGTTGTGGCCACACGGTGTGGTGACTGGATCGACGAACACCTCCAGACAGATGGCGCACAGAAACTGATCTTCAGCTCGCAGATTGCTGGCAGCGGACATGTCTGCGCTCTGAGAACAGAAGTCAGAGCATTAAAAGTTCAACTCTAATTAAACATATTTGGTGGTTTACATTGGGAATGCAACAAAGTCTGAGCAGCAACAATAGGAAACACAACTAGGACACCACAGGTGCAGAATATAATAATGTGACTCTGAAGCTGCTCTGTCTTTCAGCTCTGCCCCACCTCAAACGGCTCTGTTTGTTGCCTCCTGCAGGTTCAGACCTGATTATAGTAACCTGCACTTGGCACAACATGAGTTTAATCTTTTCGGAGACATTGAACTTATTTTCTTTGATTTGATACTGTCACATGTCAGACTGAGGCAGCAGACGTCTCTGAAAACTAAAGTGAAAGTGTCAAAAACACATTTTTAGAAAGAAATTAATTCAGTGTTGTTGATTATGCACTTGTAGATGTAATTGATGTTACTGCTGATCACATTATTCTAGTTTAATTTAAGCCTCCACTTGAATTATTCTGACATGCCAGTGTGAAATTGTATAGTGTTGAATCTTTATTTTGAACATTAAAATAGTCAAAAAGAGACAAACAAAAAAAGGAAAACAAAGCAATAATAATTATAACTAATTTACATGTTCAAAAATGAGAAGGAAGAAGCATGAGCTTATTTAATCCCACCTCCTTTCCACTATTTAGTAACTAAGAGTCTGCATTTTTTCTTATTGTTTATGCCCTGTTCATCAGAAATTCACCTTCATTACAATTTGTTACATGTATTTTTTAATAACTCCAGGAACATGTCAAAAGATATACAAATTTACAGATATATAACATACTTGTGCACCCCCACACACATATAATAAAATATGAATAAAAAGAAAAGTTTTGCGTTAATGCTGTATGTTAAACATTAAATGTCATCAGCTGTACTCACCAGTTTTTGAGTCAGTTGTTTAGAAAGAGGAGATGAATTCGGTCTGATTTTCTTCACAAATGCACAGATCTGTGACTGCAGCTGTGCTGTTACTCTCACTAACTTTAACTTTCATTTCTGGAAAATGATGCTGACTCTCCTCTTTGTGGCTCCGCCTCCTCCTGCAATGTTAGGCTTGTTTCATTCACACATGATTAGAGGTACACACATCTGGAACAGGAGTTTAAAATGTGTGTGCGCCTTCAGTTTTCTCAAACCCGAGCAGCAGTGTTTTTGATCCTTTCCTCTGCAAAGCTTCTCTCTTTCTGTCATTCATGTTTTTATTGCAGAGGAAGTTGAGCTGTGTGCACACTTCAAACTCTCCTTGAAACTGTTGCAGCCCTCTGCTGGACACAGACAGGAACCACATCAGGGTTAATGAAGAAGGTAAAATTACAATCAGTTCCTGCTCTTCACAGAAAACAGCTAAAATCAGAATTTATTATAAAGTAAAGCTAAAAGTATCAAATATGGCATCGGATCTGTGAACCCTGGTGCTGCATTCACAGTGAGCTGAAAGTTTGAGAGCATCTCAATTCAATTCAATTTTATTTATACAGCGCCAAATCACAACAACAGTCGCCTCAAGGCGCTTTGTATTGTACAGTATATAATATAATAATACATAGAGAGAAAAACTCAACAATCATATGACCCCCTATGAGCAGCACTTTGGCGACAGTGGGAAGGAAAAACTCCCTTTTAACAGGAAGAAACCTCCAGCAGAACCAGGCTCAGGGAGGGGCGGGGCCATCTGCTGTGATTGGTTGGGGTGAGAGAAGGAAGACAGGATAAAGACATGCTGTGGAAGAGAGACAGAGGTTAGAAATGGAGCAGTGTGTCATCCTGTGAACCAGGGTTTTATTCAAATCATTGTTCGCTCCATGTTACAACATTTCAACATCACCATTCATTGTTTAACAGTTCGTGTTTGTTACAATCACATATTTTCAGATTTCACTGAATCTATATTGTCAGTTTTCATTAAAATACTAAAACTGCTTATACCCACATAACAGGCAGGTCTGGCCCGGATCTGGTATCAAGCCGGCACTGCTGACTGACTTCTGGCATGATAAGACGTATGTCATCCAGATATGGGCCAGGCCTGGTGTAGCACTGTTTATGCAATAGCATGCCACATCTGGCATGATTGTGGTTTGGTGTATGTGGCCTAGGCTCACAGAAAACAGGTCGTCCCTGGATCCGGCATCAAGCTGGCACTTCTGACTGACTGGTGTCATGGCAGGGTGTATGTCAGCCAGATGTGGGCCAGGTCTGGCAATGATGGCACTGTTTATGTTCCTATTTTCCTATTTTAGTTAGAAGACCCAAATGCCATGTTGCAATACTATACTGCTATGGTAGCCAATGTTTCAAACGCAGGTTTGACAGGTTTGTGAGTGTACACTTTATCCAAAACCTAGTGAGGGTTTACTCATGTTTGCCACCAGGTGGCTGTAGCTCAGGAGGTAGAGAAGGTCACCCACTGATTCAGAAGGTTAGTGGTTCGATCTCTGTGTGATCCTCCAGGCTGCATGTCAAGAGTGTGAATGTGTATGAATGTAGTTAGGAAGCACTCAGTTTACAGATAGCGTATGATTGAGAATATATCATGTTATATAGAGCAATTTGAGTAATCTGGGAGACCAGAAAAGCGCTATATAAGAATCAGTTCATTCACTGTCTGAACAGAGTTTCGTCATCTTACTTTTGCACTATTATGTTCCGGCACATGTTCTTATTACATGGCCTAATTAAGGTACACATTAGGCCGACATCTGGGGCCAGAGCTGAAACTGTTCTAGGCCAGCACAGGGCTAGCAGTGTGTCTACAACTGGCCTTGTGCTGCCCCATGTATGGGCCACATCTGGCAAACCAGATCTGGGCCACCAAAGGGCCGTCATTCTTTGCCATGTCTGGGCCATGTGTAAGCACATTGCGTGGGCCAGATCCAGGCCATACCAATTTTGCTATGTGGGTAAAGACACAAAATACCCCAAAATAAGACATTTTTACATGATATGAGTTACACTAAAAAAAATTAACACACATCATTTTCTGCAGACCATGAAGACAATGACATGCTATGACATCAGCTACCTTTTGTTACTATTCTTGAGAATTGTTACATGTTATGAAACGAAACAATTCTTCATGTAGCTTTTTTAGTGTATTACATCAATGTGGTGCCCCTTCTAAGGGAGGACATCAGTTAAAAACACTGTTAGTAATGAGAATGCTTAGAAAATAAAAGCATGCAAACAGGACCTGATTATTTATTCCCTTTAATGAAAATAAATCATCTCATCAATTCAAATACGTTGTTACTCAATTTGATTGACAGGACAGATGATCAGTGGTGCAGAGTTTTTCACACCTTGATAAAGCCCAGGACTGAAGTACGGGTGGAGCTTCTCTGTGAAGGAGCAGCCAGTGAACGAGTAGATCAGAGCTGCAGCATCTACGTCATAGAAGGAGACTAGACCCTCCTCATAGTCCACAAACACCCCCACCTTCTCAGGACCAGACCGGAGACAGAGACGGACTGGAGGGGCGGCACAAGCACTGTACTCACTTCCATTTCTCAGCCACACAGTCCAGAAACCATTTTGAGGAATCAGTCTGATGTTTCCCTTCCTGTTGATCGACTCTGTGGACACTCCTAAGTCCCAGTCAGTCTTTTCTTTAACCTGAACCTCAAAGTAAAATCTGCCTGAAGAGAAACTCTGCTCTGCTAAAACACAAACACAGTAAGAAAATCTCTCTGGGTTGTCCGGAAGTTTCCTCCTCACATCACCATGATTCACTTGTTTTCCATCGTCAGACAGGATGAGGTCAGGATTTGCTGTATCAGGATCCAGAGTCACGTCCACTGCATCCTGCTGGACCCTCTTCAGCTCTGCAGCCTCAAACAGCTTCTTCATGTCTTTCCTGAGTGTCTCCACAGCTCTCCCCACAGTCCCCTCATATGATGGTGGACGGACTCTGACCTCTGTCCAGTCCTTGGTGCATAGAGCAGCTTTCAGGGAGGAGAAGCTTTGGAGGAGGTGGAGGTGGTCTTCAGAGTGTGAGAGCTGCTCCACCTCAGATCTTCTCTCCATCAGCTCAGAGATTTCCTGTTCCAGATCTTTGATGAGACCTTCAGCCTGTTTCTCTGTAGTTTCCTGTTTGTCTTCGATCTCCTTTATGAGCTCCTTCAGGCGTCTCTCAACAGACTCCATCAGAGCCGTGAGGACCTGAACACCTTCTGCTTTCTGTCTGTCTGCAGCATCTTTCCTCATCTTCACCGACTCTTTGATCTCCTGAATCTTCAGTCGTCTCTTCTGGATCATCTGCTGAATCTCAGCCTCTGTCTTCTCCAGCTCTGCCTTCTTTCCTTCGTATTCTTCTCTCAGAGGAACAACTTCATGAGCCTTGTGATCTAGAACAGAGCAGAGCATGCAGACACATGTCTGGTCGATCTTACAGAACAGCTCCAGATGTTTATCGTGCTTCCTACACATCCTGCTTTCCAGGTTCTCCACAGGCTCAATCAGCTGATGTCTTTTCAGACTTGTAGCTGTCAGATGAGGCTCCAGGTGAGTCTGACAGTAGGAGGTCAGACACACCAGGCAGGACTTCAGGGCCTTCAGTCTGGGTCCAGTGCAGACGTCACAGGGAACTTCTCCTGGTTTGGCAGCTTGTTGCTCTGAGCTGCTGCTGCTGCTGGCTTTCTGCTGAGATTCACGTCTCTGAGCAACCATCTCAGACAGCAAAGTGTTAACATGAAGTTCAGGCCTTGTCTTGAACACCTTGTTACACTTGGGACACTGGCAGCTGTCATTAACATCCCAGTGCTGAGTGATGCAGTTTTTGCAGTAGTTGTGTCCACATGATGTGGTGACTGGATCAGTGAACACATCCAGACAGATGGAGCACAGAAACTGATCTTCAGACTGTAGATTGGTGGCTGCAGACATTTCTTCACTCTAAGGGAGAAAGAAAGGAAATGCATCTTATTTGAAATTTTGTTTACATTTCATATTTTAAAAGTAAGGAACAAGTGTTAGGGTTGTAGTCATAACGTAGCAGTTCTGACAGATGTGACAGATGCCCATCCTGACAACTTCATGTGCTTACTCATTATGTCCTCAGATTGTTCTATTACAGGAACGGTTTCATGATCGTACCCTTTAAAACTCACAAGTTCCCTAACTTCAGTTGCCTCAAGGTGCTTTATATTGTACAGTAGACCCTACAATAATCCATACAGAGAAAAACCCAACAATCATATGACCCCCTATGAGCAGCACTTTGGTGACAGTGGGAAGGAAAAACTCCCTTTTAACAGGAAGAAACCTCCAGCAGAACCAGGCTCAGGGAGGGGCGGGGCCATCTGCTGTGATTGGTTGGGGTGAGAGAAGGAAGACAGGATAAAGACATGCTGTGGAAGAGAGACAGAGGTTAATAACAGATATGATTCAGTGTAGAGAGGTCTGTTAATACAATTACGGTCCAAGAGTCTCAGCAGTCCTCTGTCCTCTAATTCCTCAGTGTGAGAAGGATGTAGGGGGTTCCTGCTATTGGTGTCACTGCCAGACAACATATCCTTGGTTTCTGTGTATTTGATTCAGGCAACAGCAAAACTCTGCTCTTGCCATATGTGGGTATTTGGGTGACCATCACTGATCCTCTCCTCCTACCGGCAATGGCACCACACAAACAATAAGAACCCTCAGGTGAAGAAAAAAATAACATAAAAACAAAGTCCCAAAGTGCTCCACCAAATCCTTTCAGAATCAAAAACACACCACAGACCTCACTCAGCGTCTGTGAATGTGTGTTAGGGGAGACATCTAACATCCTACAGCTAGCACACATAGAAACAACTCAAAAACGACTGTGAATAAAACCAGTGAAACCTAAACACAGACAGATTACACGAGGAACACACCTTGCCTATAAAAACAGCCACATGTTAAGGAACCTGCCACCTAGTGGCAAAAGGAGGCACAGCGCTCTGGTACAACCAGAGCTATATATAATAACAAGCTAAACTGTT